AAGCCTCTCCTGCGGAGACTGTGGCGAAGCGGCAGCGGCAGGCGCAGCGGGGCTGGGGTGAGCGGGAGTGGCGCGGTGCCAAGCCAGGCTTGGGCTCCTTCCTGGCCCCCTGCCACTTCATGCACTACTCCATCCCTCGGGGGATGTCGGACTGCTGGTTCCGGCCTGATCCCCACAGGCCACGCCAAGGGACCCCACCAGTGCACGAATCCATGCACTGGGCCTCTAGTTTTATATATTTGGGAATAAGCATATCTACTTAAAAAATAAAGTTGAAAACCATTATCTTTGATTAAAGCAGATTTAACAGCTAAAACTGGGGTTTGCAAACTCAAATGCTTGCAGGTATCTTAGATAAGTGACACGGTGGGTCCCGGGGAGGATTCCAGGGAACGTGCTGTAGCTAGAGGAGGGAGTGGTTATTACCACAAGAAAATATAACCCTAGTGCAGCGGTTCTCAACCTGTGGGTCGCGACCCCTTTGGCGGTCGAACGACCCTTTCACAGGGGTCGCCTAAGACCATCCTGCGTATCAGATATTTACATTACGATTCATAACAGTAGCAACATTACAGTTATGAAGTAGCAACGAAAATAATTTCATGGTTGGGTCACACATGAGGAACTGTATTTAAAGGGCCAGAAGGTTGAGAACCACTGCCCTAGTGCATCCAGACCTCCTGCGTTTTCAGGAGAAGCGGAAGTCGTGCCTTGTTTGTGGAATGTGGCTTTTTCTGGGACACAGGAGAGGCACAGTGGCTGACGGTACAGTAGACTCTGGAGCCAGTCCTCCTGGGTTTGAATCCTGGCTCTGTCTCTTAGCTGTGTGACCTTAGGCAAGTTACCTAAATGCTGTAGTCAGTTTCCTTATCTACAACAGGGATAACAGGACCCGTCTCCTCGGATCGGGATGAAAGCTAAACAAGTTAATACACGGAAAGCACGTAAGCCAGTGCCAGGCACATGGAAGTGCCTGACTTTTCTGTATCTGTGTCGGCTGAATGCCCACAGTATTGTCGGTCTTACAAGACACTCTGTAGGCTGATGGTTGGCAACCTCTGGCTTAAAGCCATTCTTTCTGTAAATGGATCAATGGATCCTAACTAGGATAGTCATATAAGTTATCTAAACCAGGACACTTTTGAGAGAGGAGGGAGGCCCTATTACGAATTATTTCAGATGACAGATGAACAGCCTGTCCCAGCCAAACTGTGCTTGGTCCTAAGTGCCATCTTTGTATATGAAAAACCAGCAAGTAGCTTCTCTCTGTGTCCTGCTGGGTAAGTGCCAGGTTGTACACATGATTTTATAGGAGGCGTCCTGTGCAGTCTTCAACAGCAACAACCCTGGTGGTGGTGGAGGGGGGGTGGTAAAGATTCGTTAACTCTCTTTTTTACTGGTGGGGAAACTGAGGCACGGAGAGGCTATGGGACTTATCTAAAGCCACACCATGGCAGAGCCAGTCGGGTTCGGAGCCTTCGTGCGTACCTGTACCGTTTTCTCCAGTGGGTGCACGGCAGTGGTAAGAACATCGAACCTCCTGTTCAAAGGGAAGCTAAGACCCAGGATGGCATGGTTCTTGGCTCAGGCCACTGCTCAGCATGCTGGGCTGTGCTGGGAGCGCAGGGCAGCACGGGTGCTCCCGCCGCTGCGGGGCTGGTATTTCACAGCATCGCCGAGTGTTACGAGGAGCCGTGGACACGGGGATTAAGTACCAGGCCGGTGCCAAGTGCATTTCATCAGGTCCCTGCAGCCAGTTCCCAGGCAGCTCATGAGTCTCATGTGCGCGTCGCAGCTGGTGAAAGTGGATCCTGCCTAAGAGTCAGCCGCCTAAACCTGACACCTCTGTGGCTGGCAGGTCACCCCAGGCCCACAGACTAAAGGACAGCTGAGGACACAGTCCTAAGGAACCCTGAGAGGAGAAACAGGACTCATGAGGGGTGGCCCACCCACTGCAGCATCGCAGGGCTCCAGGTGTGGCCCTGTGACAGGTGCAAAGAATGATCTGCCCTCGTGAAAGGGGTTGGTGCTGGCATTGAGGGAGGGTGGACACCCGGAGGGCTGTTTCAGCGGCAATGAGGAAAATGTGTTTTCATAAAAAACGGAGGGAAACGTGTTAAACATTCTCGTCAGACGGGGACAGCAGGGTTTTGGTCGTAGTTGGAGTGCGGTGATGGATACATAGATGGTTCTTAGACTCTTTTTAAAACGTTTCGGATGTTCAAAAGGTCTTCCACATTCAGAAACTAGTTTTAGAGGGAAAAGAATACACCAGCATGAAGGTGGATACAAAATGCTTTGAGTCTCAAGTGTCCTTGCTGAGAAGATAAGAGCAGCTGGGAGGATCCGCAGCCATGAGGGCCCGTGGCAGCCGGCCCAGGGCTGGGAGGAGCCCTTCCTTTCTGTCTGCTTTGGTGATAGCACACTTTAAAGCAATATTAAATCTTGAGGGAAAAGCCAAAACCGGTTTGGCTCAGTGGATAGAGCGTCAGCCTGCGGACTGAGAGGTCCCGGGTTCGATTCCGGTCAAGGGCATGTACCTGGGTTGCGGGCACAGGATGTGCAAGAGGCAGCTGATCAGTGTCCTTGGCCACTCTTGACCCAAATGGAAAGATCTAGCTGGGAAGTAGGACTCAGTACATTCTATTCTTCACTCTACCTTGGTTCTCCATTTGTAAAATAGGAAGACGAGTTTTCCATCCGACGAAGTGAGGACACATCAAACAGGCATTGCAGGAGGTCACACTATGAATGCCCACTCCCTATGGAAAACCTGTGTCTTCTGAGCTGCAGAGCAGATGTTAGATCTAAATGGTCCAACTGCCGGTCAATCTAGGAGACTTGTCAATACAAAGCCTTTCACATACAAAGCCTTCCCATTCAGTATGGCACTGTATTCTGAAATGCTCCCGGTCATTGCATTATTTAGACTTGTTTCTGATGAGGGCAAACTCCAACTCTGGCTGGCTTAAGCCAGCAGGGCTGTATGAGGAGGACCTGGGACAGCTCACAGAACTGAAGGATCTACCTAGTGATCACAATGTGGTGAAGTTGGTGTATGTTCTCAGATGCAGTCCCCTGGCTCTTGTCTCTGGTCTTTCCATCCCAGGTTTCAGATCCCTGGGAGAGAGAACCTGATTGGCCCAGTCAGATCTGGTGTCAGAGTGGGGAGGGTTATTTGGTACTAATCTGGTCACTATGGGCCACCACTTTGTCAACCACACCCCACCAAGTAGAATTCTCTTTGTGTCAGGCAGCCACCCTGAAACCATCATGTTGTTTCATGCTGTGCTGTTATCTTCCTTGTTGCTGCAAGCATATGTTTGAAGGTCAAGGGACTCCTGTAAGACAGGCCCAAGGACTATTTGGTTTTAGAAAGATCATCTGGCTCTGATGCCTGTGTCTGGCCAGAGCTAACCCGCCAAATCAGGTTTGAATTGAGAGGTTTGATCATGATTATTAAATCCAGGAGAGGAAAGAAGAGGTGTAGGTAGGCATCCATGGCCTGAGCACATGAACACCTGTGACAGGTGGTCCTGTCCATTGGGAGCCGGAGGAGCATTTTGTTTTACATCTTGAGTTTTACTTGGGAACATCAGATCCTTTCCAAGGGAATGTGCACTGAAAACATCTGTGTCTCCCCCATCCCCCAAAAGAGAGGAAAAATGGATGAGGCAGGGCTGCCCTGAGGAAAGAGGTGCCCCAGGTTCTTAAGTGTGAGCTACTTTGAGGTGACTTTCTGCGCCTCCTCTTTCATCCTTTAATCAGGGAGGGAAAGCAGAATTTCAGCCGAGAAGGTGAGAGATTGGGAAAGAAAAGGGATCGCTCAGTTCACGGGTGAATATCAAGTCGTGGTCCAGGCCAAAAGGAGAAGGTTGAGGAGGTGGAGCAAAGGCCATATCTACAGAGATGGGTGGGCGAGCGCTGGGCTAGAGCTTGGAACGCAGGGCCTGCCCGGCCGCAGGGCGGACGAGGCTGGGATATGGTGCCTCTGATGTATGTTTAATGAATATGTGTTGCTCTGGGGCAGGGCAGGGCCGTTGATGGAGTAGGGTTAGGGTTAGGGCGTGGGACTAGGCCTTGGCATGTGGCGTGGCGTTTGACGGGAGAATGGGGTGTGACTCAGCTCTGCCTCTGCAGGGCCTTTGTGTGATGGTGTGTGGTTTGGGCAGCGCACAGCCGAGCCCTGACCAGGGGCAAGGTGGGAGCTGAAATCCAGCCACACTCCACTCGCCGGCCCATCAACTGGCAAAGCTGCAGAGATGCCATGTGGGTCGGGCTGCTGAGCAGCTCCTGAGACTCAACTGGTCCCTGACAGGCATCTGTGTATAAGGACATTGGTCTCTGTGCGTGGGCCAGCTGGCTTAAGATTCCAGAATTACCAGCTTCCTCAGGCCTGAATGACATGCCTCTCCTGATAGCAAGATAGAAATTTTAAAATGTGTCATGAGCCCGTCTATTTCTTTAAGATTCAAGAAACCCAACAGGATGATATCTATGAATGCCATTACAGTCAGGGTGGGGAAGTCTTTGTCCCCAGCCAGTGAGCTGTTCCGAGGTGGGAAGGAACATTCTCACTGATGACACGGTGGCAGCTCCATGCCAGGCACATGGGTGAGCAGCGGCAGGGCACTGTCTGTGACCCAGGGTTGAGGGAGGGAGGCCTCAGGGAGAGGAGACCGGAGGAGGACTGAGACTGGGGTGGGGATGCCTCCAGAAGAGTGATGACCCTACTGCTGACCCTCCCTGAGAACCTTACACAAGGAAGGGGAAGAAGGCCTTTACTCCCCTGGCAGGAGGACAGCTCCATGGGCTCTTCCCCTCCCATGAACTCAGGGTATGAGAGCCAAGTGTTACCCAGACACCCTTGAGCTCACTTGAGATGGGCGGTTCCAGCCTGGCCTTGGGGAGTGTCTGCACAATTCACTTGTGTTGCCCTGATGTCATGTGCACAGTAGGGACACCTCACCTACATGTCCTCTTTGTCTCCGGTTGAGCAGATGCAGGAGCTGGAGCAGAGACTGCAGGAGGCCGAGCAGAGAGCAGAGAACGCGGAGACCCAGGTAATGGGGGGCAGGGGATTGAGAAGAGTGTGCAGGGGAGGTGACCATTGGCCTTTCCTGCCCCTTCCCATGAACTCTCGTGGACCTACTCATCACACTGATGAGCTTACAGGGACAAGGAAAACCAGCAGTCATGCGTCAGAACTGCTAACAGACGAAGGTGCATGGAGCTTTCTGTGGGGGCGAATGAGTCTTTGGTTAATGATCAGTGCAGGGAGTGGGTGAGTGGACTAGTCCATATAGACTAGGTTTTATGCTGAGATAACAAGTTAAGACTGACATCTCAGCGGTTTATCACATTTAGTTCTCACCCATGGTACCTCTCTAGGGAGGGTGCGCCAGGGATTCTGCTCCACACAGGGATTCAGGGATCCAGGCTATCGGAGCTCCCCATCCTCTAGCTGGGCCATCTGGAACATGCAGCCTCCTTGGTTGCCATGGCAAGGAAAGGGAGCTGGGTGCTTGTGCACCAGCTCTTAAATAGCTTGAGCCCAGAAATACGTGTCCTTCCTCTCAGGCCCACTGACTGGACAGAATTCCATGCCCCTCTCACTAGTGGGGCCGGAAATATCGGGAAGCCCTGGACATGCAGTGAGCAGCAAATGTCTGCCAGCGTGAGGCGGGAGCAGTTCCTCTCCAGGGCTGTCTGTCCTGCCCGGCTCATCCCCACCTGGGCTCCAGAATTAGGGGACCCAACACCCACCTGTTTCTCCCTGTCATTTCCTTTTTTTTTTTTTTTTTTTTTTTGTCCAGATGAGGCTTAATAAATGGTCATTGAATTAATTGGCCCAACTGCTCTGGGTAAGGGCTCTGCCTGGGAGTCACGGGCTGAGGTGTCAGGAAGTGTCCCTTCCCATTTAGTGGCCATTTCATACAACACATCCCAACCCTATGAGATGCTTGGTCCTTTTCAGGTGAGTGTGATGGAAGAGAAGGTGAAACTCTCCAATCTGAAGAGTGTGGGCTCCGCAGGCAGCCTGCACCAGAAGTACCAAGACTTACTGAAAGCTGTGCAGGGCAAAGATGAGCGCATCGGCCAGCTGGAGGCACAGCTGGAGAAGCAGGTAAGGGCACCGGGCAGCCGAGCGGAGCGCCAGCGCCCTCTGCAGCACCTGCGCCCATTGGCCCCGGCTTCTTGAGCAGAGCCTCTCTGCTCCACCCTCTGGTGGTGGGGAGCTCACTCCCTCTTGAGCCTGTTGTCTCGTGTGGTGACTTCATTACTGGGAGGTTCACTAGGAGCCAGGCAGGGGATACAGAGGGAAAAGGACCTTGGAGGCGGACTGATCTGGGTTTCAGCCCCACCTCTGGCTCCTGCTGCTCTCTACCTGTGGGAGGTCACCTAAGTCGCTGCTGCTCATTTTGTGCATCAGTAATATAGGGGCTGTCATACGTCAGAGGCTGCCAGGCGAGTGCAGGAGTGATGCGTGTGTTGTATCAGGCCGGAGGTTGGTATCTGGTAAGGGGAGCTGTTCCTTCCCCTCCCTGGCATGTGCCTTGCCAGCATGAGGGACATAACCCTTGGCTGGAGAATCGGAGCAGCCTTGGTTGGCCAAGGTTTCTCAGTGGCCCTGAGCCCATACATGGCTGCTGCTGCTGCTGCTGAAAGCGGCCTCCTGTCCTGAGCCCATGGGAGCCCAGGAGCGGCCACTGCCCTGCGTCCCAGCTACAATCGCACCTTCGCTGCGGAGAGGACGCCTGGAACATCCCCCACCAGCTCCCCCTGCCCAGCCTCCTCCCCTTCACAGTCTCATTAACTTCATCCTAATTCTGTCCCGTCCCCCCGCCTTTGGCCTTACCTACCAACTTTTCCTGGTGCCCGAGCTCCATCCTTTCCAACAAATGACCCCACAGCGTGGCCAGATGACTTTTAATTTTCCACATGTGCCCTCTCCATAAAGGTCCCGGCTAATCCTGGCAGTACCTTCCCACCGTCATAGGCAAACACAATCATTCGCCAGCATTCGCTGGCATTTCCTTTGTGGATGTGGCTTTGTAATGTGTGGGGCACCAGGAGTTCCTGGAAAATCACGGGAAAATAGAATTCTGACGCGTGGAATCTAATCAGTCCCCATGGATTTCAGAGATTCCTTCTCTTGAGTGGTTCCTAGAAGTGGCAGATCGGGCGATTGTTGGGCAACAGATTCCTGCTGGAGCTTAGGTCAGAAAAAAAGTCGTTTTCCAGCAATAATAGGTCAAGATCAGACTAGAAAGAATGCTGCTCTGTAAGTCAGTAGACCTGGTTTTAGTCCCAGCTGTGCCAGGAACAGACCAGGGCAAGGCATTTCACCCCTCGGGCCTCCGTGTCAAAGTACGTCAGGGGTCGGTCCGCAGACTTTTTCCATGAAGGGCCAGATAGCAAATGTGATTGGCTTGTGGGCCACATGACCTCTGTTTCAACTACTCAACTCTGCCGTGGGAGCGTGAACGCCGCCCTTGGCCACGTATAAGTGAATGGGCATAGCTGGGTTTCAGTACATTTCATTTCCAGAAATAGGCAGGCAAAGGGGGTCCGGGGAGGGGTAGTGGGGGCCTGGACAAGCAGAAGGCTGGGTTTGGCCTGTGGGCCCGTTTGCAAGCCCCTAACCCAGATGACCTTAACGTAAGGTCCTTCCAGCTCTGTAATTGTGAGTCGAGTGGGACATTTCCATATCCCCATCTCATTTGCGCAGACGCCCTTGTTTGGAGCTTATGTCCATCATACATTCATGAAGTAGTTTTTCCCCAGAAGTGTAACCAAAGTCGTTATTGCTGGTCTCTAGCTACTCCAGAACATCCCGCATCTCCATGCATTTAGGTCAGGGCACTGTGCTCGCTGTAGAGCTGGTTGATTACCTGGGCCTCAGGCACCGTGCTGGGCCCTTGTGACTTCCTGCCACAGTGCTCCAGGAGGGAGCTGGGCCATCCCCGGCCTGGAGGTGACATGCAGGCCCGAGGGTCGGGTGCCCACAGCAGGTGAGCCTCCGAGGCAGAATCAAGGCCCCCAAGCCTGCTTTTCCTTCTGGCCTGGGCTGCTGTGCTTTCGAGACAAACCTCGCTTTTCTGTCACCTTATGTACTCTCTTGATTATTTTGAGGGAATGGTGGTTCTCATGTGCTAATTCGGCTTTATTTTCTGTTTTTAACTGCAAAGACAATACACGAGTCTAGTAAAAAATGTAGAAAGCCCAGAAGAGGACAAAAGGACATTTTTCCTCTGTCCCCAATCCTTCCTTCCTACTCCTTCCTCCCTGTTAGCCGCTGTTCATTGTGAACATGTCTTGTGCAGCAAAGCACAGCATCCTGTCTTCATGTTTATTTCTCCCTTGTTTGTGGAAATTTGGTGATTTTCAGTGTTGCGTTTTTTGCCTTTGGTGCTTTATCAAATGGCAACGGACGATTCCTGAGCAGGGGGTGTATTAGTTCAGTAGTATGTACATTTAAAACGTTGACAGAAATTCTCAAATTGCTCCCAAAAAGACTTAGCTGGTTCATGTCAGAAGGATCATTTTCCAACATTTTTGATAATTTGGGATAATATTAAACTTTTAAATTGTGTTAGTCTGATAGAGGAAAATGATGTCTCACTTTTGTCAGATTTCTTAAAATTATGATGGAGACTGAACAGCTTTTTCATGGGTTTTATTGCCTCCTTTTTCTGTTGATTTCCTGTTCATATCCTTTGGGTTGTTTATTCCAAATTAAACCTTTGTATGTGTTGCAAATCATCCTCCAGTTGGTTTTTTGATTTTGTCTAAGGGATTCTTTTTGGTTTTGGCCAGATAGTAATTTATCGTGATGGTATAGATTTATTAGCCTTTTCCTTCATGACTTTTTGGGATTTCTCTATGCTTTGGAAGGCTTTTCCCACTTTAAGAATATTAAACATATTCATAAGTGAATTTATTTTTCTCTATTAGGGCACCCTGTACAGTAGCCTGATATTTCTTCTCAGGGTTTCCCTCCTTGAATTATTCATTAAAACAGTGACTTGTCATTAACTGAAGGTCCTCTCTTTCTTGTAGAAGCAGATGAGAGCTGAGGAAGCAAAGATTGTTCAAGAAAAAGCTGCAAAGATCAAGGAATGGGTGACCCTAAAGTTAGCAGAGGTGAGCCACACGCTCTTCCCCAGAGCCTGGAATGGACATGAATTGCCCGTGCCCCTCAGCCTTTTCCTGCCTCCTGTGTGAGGGGCCTTGACCGATCTTCATTTTGTTAATCATGTGCCCTTCATTCAGCCTCAATGCTGAGACCCTCCACTTCACTTTCCCCTTCCTCTGTGCGGCTGGGTTCCCAGAGCTCCGGAGTCGCTTTGTGCTGTAAGTTTGGGGGAAAGGAATGAGCCTCACTTCTGTAGTCACATCTGTTCCCACAGATGCACATGCGGTCCTTACCGTCCGCTCTCTCCACTTTCTCCTCTGTCCTCTCCATTCCTTTTCATGTTTAAAAATATACTAAGTTGTACCATTGCAGCTGGGTTTCCAGCGTAAATTGTAGTGGCATTAAGTACTTTCACAACCATCTCCACAGTCTGTTTCCAAAACGTTTCAGCGCCCCAAATAGAAACTCAGTACCCATTCAACACTAACTCCATTCTCTCTTCCCTCCGCCTCCCAGCCCCTGACAGGCCCGGTTCTACTTTCCACTACTTCGTAGTTCACCACTTGCTATAGCTTTGTTTAGGAAACTCGGGACTAGAAGCTACAGTGCTACTAACAGAACAAACAAACAACAAACAGAAACAATAAAAAACCTCTTTCTAAACACAAGGAAAAGGAATTAAGGTTTGGAAAAAGATGGAAGCTCATTTGTTCCCCTCTGTCCTGACACATGTGGCCACACCTGTAGGGGGTCATCTGTCCCCTTCTGTGGACACACATCTCAGGTCACCTGCGAGGCTATAAGTTTTTGGGGACAGAACTGATGATTGCACAGCCCTGACCTCTTGCTAAAAGGTATGTCGGATTTCATTTAAAAGAAATGCATCCTTAGCCATTTGGCTCAGTGGATAGAGCATTGGCCTGTGGACCGAAGAGTCCCTGGTTTGATTCCGTTCAAGGGCACAAACTCAGTGGCAGGTTCCTCCCTGGCCCAGGCCCTGGTCAGGACTCGTGCAGGAGGCAACCAGTGGATGTGTTTCTTGCACATCGATATTTCCTTCTCACTTCCACTCTCTCTAAAATCAATGGAAAAATATCCTAGGGTGAGAATTAAAAAAATAAATAAATTTTTTTTTAAGAAATGCAGCAACCACGAAGATGGATCTCATAGACATTGTGTTGTTCAAAAGAAGCCTGACACAGAAGTACATGCTATATAATTCCATTTGTATAAAGTTCAAAAACGGGTACAACACAATCCATATGGCCTTAGCTGTTCGGCTCAGTGGGATAGAGCTTTGGCCTGCAGACTGAAGGGCCCTGGTCAAGGACACGTACCTCGGTTGCAGGCTCGATCAGTCCCTGGCCTTGGTTGGGGCATGTGAGGGAGGTGACCAATCTGTGTGTCTCTCTCACATTGATGTTTCTCTCTCTCTGTCTCTCCCCCTCCCTTCTACTCTCTCTAAAAAATCAATGGAAAAATACTCTCGGATGCAGATTAACAACATTTTTAAGAATCAGTATGTGTAAGGATTCATACTTCGATGGTAAAACCCAGAAAGCAGGGCAGTGAGTCTCTTAAACTTAGAAGAATGGTTGTCTCTGGGGAGGGAGGGATGTGTGATTAGAAAAGGCAAGCCCAGGGTTGTTGGAAGTGCTAGAAAATTCCTTAACCCGGATGGTGGTCACATGCGTGTTCGTTTCAGCATCGTTTACGCTGTTCATTGACGTGCTATGCAGTTTTCTGTGTGTGTGTGTTTCACAATTTTAAAAAGCTTAAAAATGAAACTAGGAAGAAAAGGGCAGGGATTGCCAAATGGAATTCTATCCCAAATGAGACTGGTTAGCCCAGAGGGAAGGAGGAGCTCAGGGCAGCACTGTTCTTTTTCGAAGATTTGATCTTTAAAACGGATTTTAAGCTTATTTTGAATGATATGTCTAAAGCTGTAAGCTGAGTATTCTAAACCTTCCGTTTTCCTTGTGCCCAGCTTGAGATGGAGAACCAGCACTTGAAAAGCTGTAATCAGCGCCTGGTGGAGCAGGTGGCAGCCCTTCAAGAAGCCCTAGAAGGTAAGTGGGCCAGTGTGTGTGTGTGTGTGCGCACGCGTGCCTGCTCCTGTGTGCGTGTTTGTATGTTAGCGTATGTGCCAGTGTGTGTGCGTGCACCAGGGTATATGTGTGTGCCTGTATGTGTGTGTGTGTGTGTGTGCACGGTGTGTGTGTGAGTGTGTCGGGGTGTGGGGCTGAATTAAGATAGCTCTTGACATGCCTTCTTTTGCCCCAACGATAGCTCTTCAGATGGCGCTTTCAGAGAATCTGCTGGTGGCCCCCCAGGAAATCCCAGAGCAGGATTCTGTCCCTGCAGGGCCAGGAGCCCAGCTGATGGGGCAGGACAGTGGTGCTCAGGCCCAGGATGCTCTGAAGGCCGCTCTGCCGAGCGAGGACTCTGTCCCTGAAGTGAGAAGCGCCACGGGGGAGTTCGGTTCCATCGTGGTCCGTCCCGCGGGACTATCAGAAGCCAAGACCCTTCCATCTCGTCTGGGAAGAGAGGGCTCTCCTGGCCAGCTGTGCGTGAAGACTTGCACCCCCGGATGTACTTTGTCTTCCTGGGATGAGGGCCTGGCCACTGCTCAGGGAGGGTCACTCCCTGGGACAAAGACCTCTGCCAGGGAAGGTGGCCCCGGCTGCAGCCTGACCCTCCCGAAGGTGCGGGCTCCCAGCGCCCCCTACGACAGTGTCCAGCTGGCCAAGCGGCACCACAGCCAGCCCCCAGTGGGCCCTGAGCGCTCCAACCACGTGGGGAGCGTGGAGATTGGGACCCTCGCAGCCCTCCCCCACTCCGGCCTTCCCAGGGTGGCGGCCCCCGCTGAGCTCGAGGAGGAACCAGAGAAGATGGAGATGGAGGAGCCACCCCCAGCCGGGAGGAAGGAGGAAAGAGAGAGCCAGAAGGTCTCCACAGCAGAGCTGGTGGGAGTGGATTTGGGAGGCAAGCCCCCCACACCCCCCTTGCACCGGTTTCCATCCTGGGTAAGAGGCCACCTGGGGGCTGGGCGGGGCTGATGATCTGACCAGTGTCCTCAAGCACAGCCACACGCTGAGCAGGGACGGGCGGTCCTCCTCGTGGTGCCTCAGGAGCAGGTTCCACGGGGCCTGCCCGGAGCTCCCAGCCAGCCAGGGGCAGAGCCGGGATTTGTAGTGATTGGGTGGAGGCCAGCTCTCTCTGTCCGAAGCAAGCGCCCGCCGTGTGCCACTCGCCACGTTGGTGCTGGGTGGGGCTGTGTGCACGTCTTCTTGTTTGGCCTCTGACTCTTAGAGGTGGTGCAGCGTGGGCGCTAAGGGCAGGGCTTCCAACATCCACCACTCGGGTTGAATCGCTCCCTCTGTGACCGGGGCAAGTGACTAATTCTCTGTGCCTCGGTTTCCCTGTATGTAAAATGGGGATAATGGTACCTGCTTATCGGGTTAATAGTAATCAGTACTTGCAGTAGTGGGTCATGGGAAGTGGCACCGAAGTGTTGGCCGTTGTTATTTCTGAGCCTCGGCTTCCTTCCTTGTACCACAGGGTAAAACGCTGTGCTGTCGGGGGGACGGCTTCAGAGTCAGTGCTCTGGGTGGGGATACCGATGAGGCGAGACCGCCACGTGCTAATCTTTGTAGAGCTGGGCGATGGGTCCGTGAAGTCGTACTTGATTCTGTTCTCTCCACTTTCGTGTCTCAAGTTTTCCATGAAATGGAAAGGGGGTAGGGATGGACCTCGCTGAGGTGGCAGAGGTCCGTGGTGAGGGTGAGATGAGATCTCGGATGTCAAAAGCTGAGCACAGAGCCTGCCACAGGCCAGGACTCCTTGCCTGTCTATGCAAGGAGTTAGATGCTGTTTTTCTTCACAGATGGGGGAACTGCTCTCCCTGCAGACTGAGTCAGGTGCCCAAGATCACGTAGTAGTTAGCGAGGGCCAGGCTTTAGTAAGACACGTGGGGCAGTGAGGGTGTCCCAGGAAGGGCCCTGGAGTGGGGCAGATAAATTGGCACCGAGTAGTAAGATTAGGCACAAAAGGTGCTTCCTCCCAGTGGTGGTGGGCAGGCCCCCAGAGCCCGGCAGCTTCCTGCCTCTTGGGGGACATCGGAGAGTAGCTGTCAGCCTCTCCCTCAGGGTCTGACCCTGGATGCTGCTGTGATGTGAGGCAGCACCGCAGGGGACGTCTGTCAGGCTCCTGGCAGCACAGGGAATTGTGTGCTGGGGGCGCCCCCCCCCCCCCCATCACTGCCTGGGAGGCCCACCTCTCAGCACCGTCCAGGGTCTCCTTTTGAAATGCTGTTAGTTGGGGCCTCATCCCCCCATGCTTGTGGGCTGCGTGCGTAGCAGTGATTGCCACAGGGGACCTGGATGACTGACACACCTGCTGGGGGAGGGCTAGGAGGTCCACAGGCCGAGGATTGTGGAGCTGTCCCTGAAGCCCCAGGTCCTGGCAGGGCCACAGGAAGGGTGAGGCAGGGAAGCAGCAGGTGGACCGGGAGCAAAGGGGCAGGTGGGACAAGGTGGAGAGGCTTTGAAACGGGGGAAGGGCCAGGCCAGGCTGGACTGCCATCAGAACCATCCTCCTCTTGGTCACTGTAAATACAAATGCTCTTGGAGCCGGAAAGCTCAGGTGGGCAGCGAGGGAGCACTCAGCAAGGGACCAGCAGGGGGGCTTAGCTCCACCCGGCCCTGAGACAGGCTCTCTCCCATCGGCTTCGGAAGCCACAGGGGCCAGGGAGCCCAGCCTTTCTTCTCAGGTGAGACCAACTGGGCAGTGACCATGTGGCCGGGGGGTGGGGGGGGGGTAGGGGGGGGTGGGCGGGGGGCGGGCAGGAACCAAGACTGAGAATTACAAGGCCATCCCATCCGAGGGAGTCGGATAATCTTATTTGCCAACTTAGGGTTTGCAGAGCCCTTTTTCTGTGGACCTCCAAAATAACCTTCGTTAGACATGAGACGACCTTCTGTGAAAGACTCCTATTTGCTCAGTGATAGTTGCCTAAATCCCTAAATCATGGCGAACCTGAATTCCTCAAGCTTCGCTTTTTCATTGTCTGCCACTACTGAGAGTAATCATCTTGATGCCTAATTTTACCACTTGGTCCCAATTTATCTGCCCCTCCCCAGAGCTCCTGGTGGGGCACCCTCACTGCCTCACGGCGTCTTCCCTTCCCTTCCCACGCCCTTATCCCTTATCCGGGGATCTCATCCCAGCCCGGCCCTCCCCCCCAGGTGCCTCAAGCCCTACGGCCCTGCCCCCTGAGCTGACCTTCTCTGGTCCTGGTGACTCACCAGTCACCTGAGGGGGCCTTTGTTGTCTGTTTATCTTGAGTGGAGAAAAGAGATATGCAAAAGAAGGCGGGGCCATGCAGGGGAGAGGCTAGAATTGAGGGTGGGCGTTCCCCATCCACACCCTTGTGTGCCTTGTACGTGGGGTTTTCAGTTGAGTGAGGTGCACAGGCTTTGTGGGTGGGACCCAAGCCTAGCCATGATGTGACACTATTACAGTAGAGGAAATATGTGTCCCAGCTTCCAAACTGACTGACACAAGGTCATGCCCTCGCCTCGGGGCTGACTTCCTCGTGGTCAGCACCCCACTTCTGGGGGTGAGAGCCTGAGACCCAAGAGCTGTGAAATGGGTCAGGCCACGGACCCCTCCCCTGGGAGTCTCCCCCCGCCCCCGGAAGGGAGGGGTCAGAGAGGTGAGAAGCTGTTGGGCACTGGTTATAGTCCAGGTGTTAGATGTTCACATTAATAACTTAATTGGATTCTCACACAGCCGAGTCTATTACCCCCATTTCAGGGCTGAGGCGCAGAAATGCCGTAACTCGCCCCATTCTTCCGCCTGTGAGCGGCTGAGCCTGGGTGCCTGCAAAGCCATGCTCTTCTCCACACCCAGGAGGGGCTGGGGTGGGGTAGCCGTGGGCTCTGACCCTCCTGGGCCTTCTCATTCCAGGAGAGCCGCATCTATGCTGTGGCCACGTCAGGCATGTGTCTCTCGGACATACCTCCCCGAAGTAGTGCCACCTGCTTCGGTGAGTGCCAAGTGGGGTGCCCGTGGTGGGCAGGGTGGGCGTGCGGGGAAGAGAGGCGTCTGGGCAACACCCAGGGCTCTGGTCACCGGGCACCCCATTTCCACTCCCCACCCCCCCCCCCAACAGGTGAGTTTCAGGTGAAATCACACAGCCAGGGCCGCCTTGGAGAGAAAAGGAAACGGCAGATTCAGCCCATTACCTGCTGGTGGGCATGGCCTTGAACAGTGTTGTAGCCAATCAGAGAGCTGGAGGGGACTTCAGAGGAGGGGTCCCCCAGCCCAGCCTCCTACCTGCACTGCAGTGAAGGCTGTGGGTGGAAGGGGCACAGTGCCTTGATTTATGTGAGCCCCTGAGAGAGGCCCATCCCCACCACTGTCCCCCGAGTCCCGGGCCAGCCACGGCGGCCCCACAGGCTGTGAGCGCCCCGTAGCGCGTGACTGGAACTCACCTTGGCCAGAGTGGGACTGAAGGCCGCAGCCCTGTCCTGAGATCTGTCCCCAGAGTGCTGTTTCCGGCAACTCCGTCTGCAGCTTTCCTCCTCCTCCCTCTGCTGTCCCCACACCCCGTCCTGGGCCAGGGCACTGGAGCTCATCTTGTCCCTCTTCCCCGCCCCTCCAGGTTCCAGGCCTCCCTCCCTCTCATCCCATGGGCCTTTCTCGGGCCTTGTCTACAAGAACTGTACGGTGCCTGTCTACACAGTCCTGAAGGGGGTAAGAAGCTGCTCTCCAAGGACGGCGCCCCCCCCCCCCCCCCCGCAGGCTCCTTGTCCAGTCAGCGGCTGGAGTGGGGCCCCAGGGTCAGGTTTCTGCACACACACAACTCTGGGCAAGAAGCGCAGCCCACACCATATGTCATTTTAGTTTTATTATCTCTATCAGACTTTTAGTAGAAAAATTCTACATTTACAAAAATTTGAATAAATATGATTGTGGGCAAAGGAAGGAGTAAAAGGTTAAACTATGCCTGCTCCACCTGCCCGTCCCCCTCCCCCCCTCTTGTCACACGCGTGTCCTGGGGGGTGGGGCTCCTTTTAGAACTTCTTATGTGTTCAAACATACACTCCCATATAAACTCGGTACATCCCCAGACTTTTTAAAACAAAAATCAGATAAAAGTGCAACATGTTTTATATGCATTTTTGTCTCTTTTTATGGTTAGTTTTTGAAATCATAACAATTATACTTCGTAAAGCTTTTTATAGAAGAATAAAAAGCCAAAAGCGGAGCTTCCCCCCACAGTGCTTTTCCCGAACTCCCAGCCCAGAGGCGGCTGTCATACATGGTCTGGTGTTTATTCTGTAAGGCCCTCTGCTGTGTTCACAAATGCGTTCGCAAATAGGCGCTATCTCTCACTTGCACACACACGTACATGAACACGGGGTCACACTACATGCATTCTACCCCTTGCTTGTTCACCCAGCCGGGTGCCAGGCCTTCCCGCCGTACCTCCCCTAGTAGGGCTGTCCAGTACCCTCGCGCAGGTGCCCACAGCTACCTTAACCTGTGCTCCACTGATGGACAGCTTAGGACACACCTCTGTTTTTCTCTAAAGTAAGTGGTGTGATGCACATCATTGTGCAGATCTCTCTCTGCACTTACGTATACGTATCTCCGGAGGACAGAGTTCTAGAGGTGGGCTTTAAGTTTTGACAGGCAGTACCAAATTGCCTTCTACAAAAACTTCATCCCACTACAGAGAGCCTTCTCCCCAGTTTCACCAGCATCGAGCCCAGCAATCTTAGTAAATGTCTGTCAGTGGAGATGGTTTCCCCGTCCCCACACATTGGTGAAGCTCCCGTCCTCACCCTCGGGCTGTGGTGTGGCTCTCTGGCCCCCTAGTGGCAGGGAGTAGGGGTCACAGTGGTTAGGTGTTCAGCTGGGATGGGGCAGCTCTTTTAGGGACCACAGAGGATGGTGTGCCCCCCTCCCCCACCATCAGCCCAAGGGGAAAGGTCAGGGAGGGACAGTTGTCTGGTGGGTGGCCTGGCTGGGTGGTGTGTCCTTGTGCCCAGACAGGCTGTGCTGGCCCCCCTGAGCACCTGGAGCCGAGTGCAGGTCGGGGGTGGGGATTGTCTTGCAGCCTGAGCCGCATGGGAAGGGCCTGTCTTGCAGAGAGTCATGCAGATCAGCACCGTGCCCTTTGTGGACGAGTCCTCTGGGTCCGATGACGACTGCAGCTCTCAGGCGAGTTTCCAGAGCTCGGTCCCCTGCTCTGAGCCCAGGAAGACCAGTGGACTAGGCAGCCCCCGGGCTATCAAGAGAGGTACGGAGCAGGGGAGCTGAGGGGTGTGGACCACAAGGGGCCCCTCACCTCCTCCCATGGGCAGTCATGCATGGGGTCCCTGCTTGAGCTCTGCCGTGACCCTCAGCCCCAGACGCGGGGGTCCCGGGTGGGTGAGGCGCTGGGGCTGGCTGGCATGGGACACAGGCCTCGAATCCTCCCCCTGGGCCAGGTGTCTCCATGTCCTCTCTGAGCTCAGAGGGCGACTACGCCATCCCCCCAGATGCCTGCTCCCTGGACAGCGACTACTCAGAGCCTGAACACAAACTACAGCGCACCTCATCCTACTCCACCGAGGGGCCGAGCCTGGGCAGGGTGAGCGGAGGGCGGCCCCACCGGGTGGGGCTGAGGAGGGGCAGGTGGGAGCTGCCTGCCCGGGACCCTCGGCACACTGTGGCCCGCCAAGCCCCAGGGGCTACACAGAGTCCCTCGTTTCAGCTCCACGCTGACGCTGGGATGCTGGGAGCTAACGTTTCCTGAGTCCTTACCGTGTGCCAGGCACCGTGCTCCGTGCTTTTCATGTACTGTCTCAGTGGTCCTCACATCCTCTCAGGGTTGTTACCCCATTTTGTGGATGAGAAGCCTGAGGCTCAGAGCCATGCTACTCCGGAGCCAGCAGTAAAGCCAGATCCCATCCCCAGCCCTTGCTCCACACCACTGAGCTGCCCTGTCTGCATCTCCCCCGCCCCGAACCCTCCGCCCCAGCCTGATGGATGTGCCCACTGTCCCCCAAACCTCTCCCTTCCCTGCTGCCTCAGTGGCCGTCCTCCTCCTCCTGGCTCATCTGTGAGGGAAAGGCTGACCTCAAAGGCCAGTCCAGCCCTTTCCTGAAGGCCCCTCCCCTGGCCAGCCTCTCCCTTGTGCAGCCCCTGACCTGCCACCTGCTCATGGTCAGGTGTGCTCCCCAGCCAGCAGGACTCTCCCCCAGCAGGCCCACCCAGGTTTGATGTAGTCCTCTCTGAACCCTTAGCAGGACACAGTGCCCTGAAAATACACACAGTAGGCACTCAATCTTCTTTTCCTAACTGGTGACAGAGCAGTGACTCAACTGGGCCACGTGGGCCTGGGTGACGTCCACACCTCAGTGAGTCCCCCTCTTCGCCCTCCCCCTCTGCACCCTTCCACCCAGCAGGAGTCTCTGGAGAAGTCAGGCTACCTGCTGAAAATGGGCAGCCGGGTGAAGACGTGGAAGAGGCGCTGGTTTGTCCTGAGACAGGGACAGATCCTGTACTACAAGTCCCCGGTGAGACCCTCCTCCACAGGACTGTCATCTGAGGGACCCCACCCAGCCCCAGGACTGTGTGAGGAGAGCTGGAAGAGTGGCAGGTGGCCCATGCCAGAGGGCAGAGGTCTGGCAGGTGGGAGAGGCTTTGAGCCACACACAGACCATGAGGCTGGTCATTGGTTCTCCCAGTGAAGTCAAGCACTGAGAAGACAAAGGCAATGCTAGATGAGGTGGCTTGGACATGCCTTCCTTCAGAAGCTGATTTCTTTTACCTGGTTCTGTAAAAGAACTGTTCTAAAAGGCGAGCCCAGCCTGGCCAGTGTGGCTCAGTGGTTGAGCATTGACCCCTGAATCAGGAGGTCACAGTTCTATTCCCGGTGAGGGCACGTGCCCGGTTGTGGGCTTGATCCCCAGTAGAGGCCGTGTAGGAGGCAGCGATCAATGATTCTCATCATTGATGTTTCTATCTCTCCCTCTCCCTTCCTCTCTGTCTAAAAAAAATAAAAACATATTTTTAATAAAGGAGAGCCCATTGCCTCCTCCCCATCCTTCCTAACACTGTTCGAAATTAGGGAACTTTGGACATGGGGACTTATTTTGACAGGCCCTCCCTGATTAATAACCGATGTTAATGTTTTAAGGAGGGCAAAAAGGCCTGTCTCTCGTGCAAATCTCATTGATTGGCCGTGGCTGTCTCGAACACCTTGTTAAGGATTCTGGGCCTGGATTGCTCAATAGGCAGGCATGCTTTGATCGATTAGTAATGTCTGCAGTGGCACTGGCAATGGGAATGGTGACATATGAGCCACTTATTTGCCACACTAGATATAAAGGATGTAGTAGAAAAAATTTAAGGGCTTTATAGCTTAGTAATAATTTGGTGGCTTTGGACCCAATTTTCAAGGCTCAGTCTAAAAAGAGCAAAATCTTATCATTTGTGGCAGCATGGATAGACCTAGAGGGTATTATGCTAAGGTCTGTCAGAAAAAGGCAAATACCACATGTTTTCACTTAAATTTGGAATCTAAAGTACAATACAAACGAACAAACAAAGCAGAAACAGACTTAAAGATCCAGAGCACAGACTGATGGTTGCCTGAGTGGAGGGAGTTAGGGGGCTGGGCAAGAAAGGTGAAGGGATTGAGAAGTACAGATTAGTCGTTACAAAACAGTCACAGGGTCTACAGCCATACCACCCTGAACGCGCCCGATCTCGTCTGATCTCGGAAGCGAAGCAGGTTCAGGCCTGGTTGGTACTTGGATGGGAGACAAAACAGTCACAGGGATGTAAAGTACAGCCTAGGGCCGTGGTCAGCAAACCGCGGCTCGCGAGCCACATGCAGCTCTCTGGCCCCTTGAGTGTGGCTCTTCCACAAAATACCACGTGTGGGCACGCACGTACAGTGCGATTGAAACTTCGTGGCCCATGCACAGAAGTCGGTATTTTGTGGAAGACCCAGTATTTTGTGGAAGAGCCACACTCAAGGGGCCAGAGAGCCGCATGTGACTCGAGAGCCGCGGTTTGCCGAGCCGCAGTTTGCCGACCACTGGCCTGGGGAGAACAGTGATACTGTAATAGCGGTGTGTGGTGCCAGGTGGGGCTGGAAATGTCAGCAGAGCACCTTGTGAGGCCTGTGATTGTTAACCACTGCGCTGTACACCTGAAACTAATACAAAGTTCTATTGACTGCACAGACAGGCCGCGGTTACGTCGGACTTGACGTACATCATTTCGTGGTTACGTCACCATCTCCCATTTATGTATAAAAAAAAAAGTTCGGTCATTTCGACGTATGTACATAGGTGCTTTATGGTTTTTATTATTTATTTACCACAAGTAAAGTCAGGAATTGTTATCTTTCTTTTACATTTTTTTTACTGTTTCACTTCATTACTGCTGTGTCTGTGCTCCATGTGAGTGACGTAGGTGCTTATGTAGGTGGGTTCCGACTTACGGCTAAATCGTTAAGTCGCTCTGTAGGAACGGATCTCCGACGTAGCCCGAGGACCTACTGTATACTGTAATTTAAAGTATTTTTAAAATTTTTTAAAAAAAGGAAAGAAATAAAGGCTCAATCTACACTTTTTGAGCTGGGTCCGAGGGACCCATGTCTGACCATTGCTCCATTTGGCTAGAACCAGGATGCAGAACACGTTACCCGCCATGCATAGCCCAGGAAAGCGTGGAATCCCTTTCTCCTTAGCCATGACCTAGAGCAGCGGTTCTCAACCTGTGGGTCGCGACCCCTTGGGCGGTCGAACGACCCTTTCACAGGGGTCGCCTAAGACCATCCTGCATATCAGATATTTACATTACGATTCATAACAGTAGCACCATTACAGTTATGAAGTAGCCACGAAAATAATGTTATGGTTGGGTCACCACATGAGGAACTGTATTTAAAGGGCCAGAAGGCTGAGAACCACCGCTCTAGAGTGGGATCATGCCTTTCTTTACAGAGTGATATCATCCGGAAACCTCAAGGCCAAGTGGAACTGAACTCCCGTTGCCAGATTGTTCGAGAGGAGGGTGCACAGACCTTCCAGGTGAGCAGGGTCCTAACAGCTAGAATCGCAGGCAGAGAGGTGCTGGTTTGGATGTGGCTGTGATGGCTACAGAGGTGGGGCCACACGGGCGTGAGTGAAAGACACTTGGGTGTGACCCTAATTGGTGAGTCCGAGGAAGGAAGAGGACACAGACTGTGAGCGTGAAGGAAGGAGAGACAGGGAGAGCGAGACGAGGAGGAAAAGGAGGGGCGAGTACCAGGGAGGAGCAGGAAGGCCAGTGGGTGCTGGGGTTTGTGCCACCCAGAGCCAGTTTCTGTTATTCTACCCTCCTGTCTCCCGGCCCCGCCCCGGCCCCCTCCTGCACAGCTCGTCTCCGAGAAGAAAACCTATTACCTGACGGCGGACTCGCCCTGCCTGCTGGAGGAGTGGATCCGAGTGCTGCAGAGGCTGCTGAAGGTCCAGGCCCTGGGGCCGCCAGCCCTGCCTCAGCGGGGCACCAAGCCCACGGTGAAGGGCTGGCTGACCAAGGTATGGCTGCGGCGGGTGGGGGAGGAAGGTGGGCCTTCTGAGAGTCGGGATTCAGGAGCGGGAGTGCCCAGGGGCACTGGGTCCCCTCCTGATCCACAGCTCCTCCAGGGATTTCCTCACAGGGACTAGCTGGTTGGCCTCACACACGGTTTGACCACACAGGGGTGGTGAATGGTTCCCTGGAAACACGGTCGGCTGTTAGAACAACAGCTGTTCTCAAGACTGAGGAATGTGCCCATTTTGAGGTCATTAGGGGTCCCCCACCTCAACCAGAACCCACCAGTATGAATAGTGGGAAGCTGGGACCTAAGCGAGGTAGGTGTGGCCACTTAAAAAACGTATACTATCCCAGGCCTGCCCTGAAGACGTTTTAGTGAGGGCTCTTCTGGTTGCAAAGAGCGGAGAAGCACATGTTAACCCCAAGTAAGAGAGGACATTAACAAGGAAGCACGGGAACTGGACCCAAAGCCGCCAGGAGGCAGAGCGGCTTGTCAGAGCGCGCTCAGTGGGTGCTCGCAGCTCTCTCTGCCTCTGCGTCCTGTTCAGTCCCCTCTGTGTGCGCCTGCGGACACCACACCATTTCTACTGGCCTCCCTGCCCTTCCCTTCCTCTCAGCTTACCTACCACTCTAGCCTCTGCTAATGCAGGCTCTTCCCCGTCACATTCCTGGGACAGGACCCCCATTGGCCTGGACGGGGCATGCCCTGGGGCCCACTGCGGCCCCTCGCTGTGAAAGGGCTGGTTCCCTCGGGGAGTCTTGGCGTCTCCACTGAGGACCTGAGCTTGACCAGGGGCTTTGACGTCTGCCTCCCTGTGGCTTCCCTTTGCCAGGCCCGGATTTACTTCGGGGCCCCCAGCTTCTGGTGATGCCGGCTCGTTTCTGCCTCACAGGTAAAGCATGGCCACTCCAAGCTGGTCTGGTGCGCTCTCGTCGGGAGAACCTTCTACTACTACCGGAGCCACGAGGACAAGGTACTCCCGGCCTCCGACAGTACCGCTCTCTCTCCCCCCAGACCCCATTCCTGGGGCTCCACTTTCCCTTCTACCCCGTAACCCCACAGCCAGTGCAAAGCCAGCTGGCGGGCTCCCTCCGCAGAGCATGGCCCCGGCACGGTGGGGTCAGGCCACAGTTCCCCAAGCAGGCAGCCAGCGAGCTCTCGTCCCCTTCCTCCTGTATCTGTCCTCATGCACAATTCCCAGCCCTGCAGGGCCGAGGGTTCCGAGAGAGGAGTCCCCTATTCCCCCACCCCACGCCCCGCACCAGCTCTCCCATTCACAGAAGCCTCATGTCTGCAGCGACCCCTGGGCCACCTGCCTGTGCAGGACGCACACGTAGAGGAAGTCGACCGATCCTGCGACTCAGATGAGGACTACGAGGCCGGAGGAACCGGGCGGCTGCTCTCCTCCCACTGCACCCTGGTGATCCACCCCCCGGAGCACAGCCCCACCTACCTCCTCATTGGCACCAAGCATGAGAAGGCAAGGGCGGCCAGGCCCCGAGGCCACGCTGGGACCTGTGCTTCTCGTCGCCCCTTCTCTCTTCCCCCCCATCTTCCCCACATTCACATTTATTTCCTTCCTGGACATCTTGGCAGCTAGCAGTCCCTGGTTGGGAATATTCCTTATATTGAATTGTTCCCAGTGGCCATCTCTTCCCTGAGGTAGAACCACAACCTTAGAAACCTGGGTTCGTGTTCACTCGATCCCAGGTCTTTCCTCTCAGACACGGGTGTCCCGGACTTCTGCTCACCAAGCCAGCTGAGCCCCCCCTGGGTGTGGCCCCTTCAAGGAAGCCCCTGGGAGCTCTTGCCCCATCTCCCCACCCAGCCCCAGCAGATGGCCTTCCGTCCTCTTCCAGGACACGTGGCTGTATCATCTCACCGTGGCCGCAGGGGGCAGCAGCGCCAAGGTGGGGACCGCCTATGAGCAGCTCATTGGCAAGCTGATGGATGCTGAGGGAGACCCAGGTAAGGCAGCAGGGCCGTACCGCCTGGGCTGCAGGGCGGTGGCTGGGGAATTGGTCAGGAACCCAAAGAAAGCACTGCTGGACCCTGACGCTGTTTTAAAACCGCCGGAGCCGCAGAAGGGCATCCCTGTCCCAAGCTCCAGGGCCCCTGTCTCCGATGAAGGCCCTGAGGTGACCCCTCAGGCTGCCCAGTGACCTGGGCCAGTGTTGTACTTTGTTCCCTGCAGCCTTGCTGGCGGGGAGAGGACTGATGAAGGAGGTCGCTGGCGAATCTATAGTGAGAGTTGTAATAAGCAAAGCCTCACCTGAGCCTGGGTCCCTGGGTCTTTATTTTGCTACTGATTCTGAGGAGCCGGAGGCACTGACAGCACACACCACACCCCCCTCCACTCAGTGCCACAGCTTGTTTATTCCAGGCTGGCACACACCCCTCCGCCCAGGCCTGACCCTGCGGGCCGGGCCTCCCTGCACACACAGGCTTGCACTCAGAGGCCCACGCCTCGCACACTCGCCCTGTGACAGCCCCACGAGCAGAGCAGTAGCCGCCTTCCTGTGAGCTGTGCTTGTGAGCCCCACCCTCTAGGTGTAAGCCCAGCACCACCGTGGACCCCAGACAGTTAGACCCTCGTCTTCCCCGCAGATCAGAGGGGTGGGTTGGGAGGAGAGTTCCCGCCCAGGGGTAACGGCTGCTGCTCTCCGCTGCTGTGCCTTGGCAGACTCGCCCCTCTGGAGGGACCCCATGCTGTGCTACAGCAAAGACGGGCTGCACACGTCCCTCACCACCCTGCCCTCCGACGCCCTGCAGACCGAGGCCCTCAAGCTCTTCAAGGTAAAGTGGGAGCGGAGCCCAGGCCCACCCCCGGGCGGGGCGCCCTCGCCATGTGCCCAGGCTCTGCCCCATGCAGCTCTGCCCCCCATGGTGATCCTCGGGTGAGAACATGCAGTTAGGGGGTGGCCCACAGAAGGGTCTCAGAGGAGGGGCAGAGTCTCACAGGGTCCCCTCCACGTCCTGTAGGACAGGGAGGCGGAAGCTCTGGGCCTTCATTCCCAAGCCTGGGGCAGCCTATGAAGCGGGACAGGAAAAGGCAGGCCTGTGCTGTTTCTGAACCTGAGGGATTCTGGCCTCTTTTAGAATGCTCTTTGTGCCTGTCTCGAATATTCTTTTTAGAAAAGGACTATGTCTTGCTTATGTAATAGAAACATTTAAAGAAGGAAAGACTCTAGCCCAAGGTAGCCTTCCCCGCAAGCACAGTGCTCCCAGGCAGTGCTCCCTCTTAGAAACATTCTCCCTGTGAACAAGCCCCACCCCCTCCCCAGCCCTGGGCGGCCCAGGCTGTTCATTGTCTCCACACCTGCCAGTGCCCTCTGTCATGTCCTTGCCAGTGCTGCCAGCTCTTCATCAACGTGCCCGTGGAAGCCGCCTCTGTGGACTACCATGTGTCCCTGGCCCAGAGGGCCCTGCAGGTCTGCCTGGTTCACCCTGAGCTGCAGAGCGAGATCTACTGCCAACTCATGAAGCAGACCAGCTGCCGCCCGCCTCAGAAGTACTCCCTCACACAGGTAGGGCTCCCCGGTGAAGAGCGGACAGGAGCCATTGGCCGGGGCTGCCCAGGAGCGGGAAATGGGAGGAGGTGACTACGCAGGTATCCTGAGCCTGGTAGCCAGTGGGCATGCTCAGAGCCGCCTCGGCACAGCTGCCCTCCCTGTGCCCCTTTGGATGAGTCTGTGTGCCGTCAGCTTGTGTGACTGCTGTTCTGGTCAAAGCCTGACCAAGTTGGCTTTGGTACCCAGAGAAGGTGGGGGCCCCGGTTTGGGTTCAGAGAGGGTGCCGGAGGCTCTGCAGCTCAGGGCCCTGAGGCGGGGCCTGCGGGCCAAGCATTCACCCCACGCTGCCTGTGCCCTGCAGTGCTGGCAGCTCCTGGCTCTGTGCGCCCCACTCTTCCTGCCCCAGCACCACTTCCTCTGGTACATCCAACAGCAGCTCCAGCGCCACGCAGACCCCAGGTGAGAGAGCGCCGTTTCCCCGCTGCCCCTTCACTCCCGCTGTGGCATGATTCAGTGTCACAGGGAAACCGGGGTCAGAGCCCCCCACCCTCTGAGACTTGCTCGGTGGCCATGGGGGCTTCACCGGTGGCTGTAAACACACACACACACACGTGGAGGTCTGGGCGGGCCTGGGCTTCTGCACACCAGTTCACGTGTGTGTGGATGTTTTGTGGGGGCTGTTGCCTCCGGATTATTCCCAAAGTGTCATTCTCTGTGGCCATGTTCATATAGGCCCTAAATGGCAAGTTAATATCCCACGCCCGTCTTCAGGGCTTGGCTCACAGCCTGCCTCAGCGGCTGACATGGTCCTGGCCGGGTCTGGGCGGGGAACCAAGGCGGCAGGGAGCTGTGGGTTCCATGGCATCCCTTCCTCACCTGTCTTTTTAGAAATGAAACTGGCCAGTATGCCACGTACTGCCAGCGGGCCGTGGAGCGGACCCTGCAGACGGGGGAGCGGGAAGCCCGGCCGTCGCGCATGGAAGTGCTGTCCATCCTGCAGCGGAACCCCTTCCACCACTCCTTGCCCTTCAGCATCCCCGTGCACTTCGCCAACGGGACCTACCAGGTGAGGGCGGGCGTGTGCCCTGTCCTGAGTCTCTTCCAGAGGGGAGCACCTTAGGGCCAGGCGGGTGCTAAGCCTCCGAGGATTGGCAAATTCTTGCCAAGCAAACCAGCAAAAGAATGGGCCTGGGACTTCGGGGTGGGAGTGGGGTTAGTGCCAGTGTGGCAGGAGGGAGGAGCTTGAATCACAAAAGCGCTCCACTATTTGATGTCCTGGAAGGACAGCTTCGAACCCATGTGTGAACAAGAAACTGAGACACTGATCAAGAAGATGGCATGAAAGGGCCTCCAAAAAAGCGAGAGTAAAGGGCAGACAGAGCTTATGCCGGGTTCATCTCCAGTGGGCGGGCTCATCCCTGAGGCATGCACCCTCGCGTGTGAATACAGAACGGACGTCTCCTTGGCCCTTGCACCCGCCCTTGCTTCTTCTAGGCAAGCCTTCCCACCTCTGGATGCAGACCCCTCCGCGAGCCCTAGTGGGCGTCCCTCAGCAAGCCCCCCTGGGGCTGTCCTCTCCCCTGCAGGTGGTGGGCTTCGACGGCTCCTCCACAGTTGATGAGTTCCTCCAGCGGCTGAACCAGGAGACAGGCATGAGAAATCCGTCCCACTCTGGCTTTGCCCTCTTCACAGATGATCCGTCTGGCCGGCCCCTGGAACACTGCCTGCAGGGGAGAGTCAAGGTGGCCGCCTCCCCGCTGAGCCCTGAGCCCCACTGTCCCACCGCCTGGCTTCGGGGTTTTGGTGGGGAAAAGCCTGCTCTGCTGGGTGTCTGGCTGTGTCACAGCCTGTTTGGTGCTGAGCCAAAGGTGCCCCCCCTTCTATGCCATCCTAAAACGTGCCCATGTGGGCAAAGATGTTTGTGCTCTTGTCTCTGGAGAGAAGAGCCCTTGCCCCTCTTTCCCGGGGGTGGCTGTGCAGCATCCAGGGGAAGCTGCTGCTCAGCTGGTGTGGGAGGGACAGGAGGAGCTTCTCAGCAGCAGCCTGACTGAGCCTGCCGGTTGCACGCACACGCGCGCACACACACGCACACAGGGACACGGGTGGGCACCTGCATGCCCAGAGTCCCTGGATGTTGTGTCTGCCAGGCCTATGCTGTGCCTACAGGTTCAGCCACAGTTTTAGGAAGTAGGTCCTTATGGTACTTGGGTCTGAAAGGCTCTTGAATGGGACTGAGGACCTGTCTTGTATTGTGGTCTGAGATTAGAGCCGTGGTGCGTGTTAAGTGTTTGAGGGAATGTGCTGGAGCACTTGATGAGCTGCTGTGAGGGTTTGGGTCCGTCTGCTTTCTTTATGGCAGCAGGACAGAGGCCTCTAGTCCTGTACCATTGCTGGGAACACTGTGCTACATGCCTTCTCTGTAAATGTCGGGCATCTGCAAGGCTTTGCTACACAGCAGGCCTCTGGTGTATTTGCTGAAGAGGAGAGTGGGGTGGGATGGAATGGGAGCTGGTGATGTGAGGCCATGGTTTTTGACTGGGGCCTGCCTTGCCTCGGGGTGGGGGGCGCTCCGATGTTAAGGCCAGTAGGGGAAGCTTTGCTGTGCTGCTCACGCCAAGTCTGTGAGGAAGCGCAGGCACCTGGGGTCCTGGCCCGTAGGTCATCCTCTCCATGGAGGACAGTCACTCCACTCTGCCCTGCTGCTCTGCCCAAGGCCAGCCCTGCCTGGACCTCATGCCCCTCACCAGGTGCTTTTCTGACTTTTGTCTTTGCCTCTTCAAGCTCTGCGATGCCATTTCCAAGTGGGAACAAGCCCTGAAGGAGCTGCACTCCAGGAAGTCTGAGGGTGGCACGCGTGTCGTGAGGCTGATGTACAAGAGCAGGTCCTGAGCATGCCCAAGGGGGGGGACCAGGCGTGAGGGCTGCGCCTGGGGTGCACAGGCAGGAGGCCCACAGATACAGCACTGCATGGTGCTCATTAGCTGGGGAGCCAGGCCGACTGGGCAGCTCAGCTCTCAGTCCCTATACTGCATGTACACACACATGCATGCTTACACACACACACACAAACATACCAAGAAAACAGACCAACCTCATGAGATGGCTGCATGTGTTACCTTAGGAGAGGGAGATTTTATATGAGCACTAAATTTAAGGCTAGAAACAAATTGCTCCTATACCAATTCCAGGGGATACAGAAGTAGGCATCCTGACTTTTTACCAATTTGAGTAAGAAAATTCCATCCCAGTTATGTCTCCAGGCAAATAGTTTCCATTAGTCTCTTGGCTTCTTAACTCATCCAGTTCCCTAATAAGTTGTGATTCCTGGTACCAGATCCCTTCATCAAATCCCGTAAGTCTAATGGTGTATCCAGAATTAACCACACGCTACTGTTGCCATGAGAACTATGGGCTCTGTGGCATGCTTGCTTAAATATTTTGGAGGCAATAGAAAATAGGCTTAGAAATGGTATAAAAAGAGTCATTTCTTTCTTTGGAAGTCAAGATAAAACAGATGCCAAGATGACCTTGTCCTTTTGGGATCCCAGCTGACCTGGCTTCTCGCCCTCTTCCCTGTAGGCTGTACTTTCGGGGTCAAGTCAAAGGGGAGACAGAACGCGAGCGTCTGCTGCTTGCCTTCCAGACCAGTGGCGAGATCGTGGCCGGGAGGTTTCCTGTCAACAAGGAGCTGGCTCTGGAGATGGCTGCCCTGATGGCCCAGGTACGGGTCTGTTTGGGAATCAGGAGGGTCAGGCACCACCTTTGGACTCGCAGGCGGAATGCACCACACAGCCTGGAGCAGGAGATTCTGCAGGAGGGCGGTGCCAGAGGAGAGGGTGGCCTTGCCCCTGGCTCCTTACCCAGCAGAGCTCCTCATTGCACACACAGGCTGCGTGCAGATCTGTGGGCGGGAATCCAGAGGCCTGGGTTTGAGTCCTGGCCACTTCAAGCTCTGAGATGTTGGCCACGTTACTTTACTTGTCTGTGCTTTAGTTTCCATTTCTGTGGACTGAAAACAAAGATACCGCCAAACCTACCCCCACAGGGTTGTACTAAGTATGTTCTTAAATAATGCATAAATGTATGCCATAACATTTGTATTTAAAGCTGTCAAACATTTTAACTAGAATTAGAAAAGGAACACACATTCAGACTTTGACTCTTCTCCCTGTTACTTTTAGGAGGCCATCTTGCCAAAGGTATCTGGGATACCTGTATGGTTCCCATAGATCTACTTGCTGAAAAAGAAGGGGAAATAATAATAGCTGATCTTTAGCCCTGCCCAGTCTGGCTCAGTTGGTTGGGCATCATCCCATGTATCAAAAGGTTGTTGGTTCAATTCCCTGACAGGCCACATACTTGGGTTGCAGGCTCCATCCCTGGAAGGTACGTGCAGGAGGCAGCCGATCGATGTTTCCCTCTCACATCAATGTCTGTCTTCCTCTATCTTTCTCTCCCTCTTTCCCTCTCTCTTTCCCTCCCTCTCCTCCTCTCCCTCTCTCTCTAATAACTGATCTTTAATATAATAAACACGTATTAAATACTCTATAGAGGACCCTGTGCTAAATATTTTATACTAGAGGCCCAATGCACAAGATTCATGCACTTGGGGGGGTCCCTTAGTCCAGCCTGCACCCTCTTGCAGTCCAGAAGCACTCAGGGGATGTCTGACTGCTGGTTTAGGCCCTCTTATACTCAGGCCTGGTGCATGAGATTTGTGCACTTGGGGTGGGTCCCTCAGCCCGGCCTGCACCCTCTCACAGCCCAGGAGCCTTCGGGGGATGTCCGACTGATGGCTTAAGCAGGGAGTGGGCCTAAGCCGGCAGTTGGACATACTTAGTGCTGCCGCGGAGGCAGGAGAGGCTCCCACCACCACTGCTGCACTCGCCAGCCATGAGCCCGGCTTCTGGCTGAGCGGTACTCCCCCTGTGGGAGTGCACTGACCACCAGGGGGCAGCTCCTGTGTTGAGCATCTGCCCCTTGGTGGTCAGTGCATGTCATAGCGACTGGTTGTTCCGCCATTCAATTTGCATATTAGCCTTTTATTATATAGGATATATTATCTCATTTAGTTCTCATCCCCACATAATAGGTGAGGATATTGAAGCTCAGAGAGTTTAAGTAACCTGACCAGCATTACAAAGCTGGTAAGTGGCAGAGTTGGGATTTGAGCCAGGTGTCTGACTCCAAAGGCCACATTTGGAACTCTCTGATACACAGTTCAGTCAGTCCTTCCTTAGCATCAACTTGTTCTACAGCTTTAAGCAAAACATCTCATCAACATTATAATGAAGTGACATTGAGCAAAACTGTTCTTCAAGGACCTGCTGTACTCTAGGATCTGTAGCATCTTCAATCCTATGTCCCATATTTTTGGATTGGAAGCCAGAATTTCTACATTGTTTTCCCTGTTTGCCTCTAATTAACTGTGTCTTTGGTTAAGACACTTAACCTCGGCTGGAAAGTGAAAGTTGGATTAGATAATCTCTAATATTCCAGGACCCTAAGGTTGTTTGTTTATCTCTAGTGTCTGTGAAACTGGATATAAAAGGCCAGTTCACAAGAAGTGTTTTTTCACATCCATTTACACCTCCCCAGTAAAGTTATGAAAAAAAGGGTTTATTACACCTTTCTCAACAGCCCACCCTCACCACTACGCCCATACCACCCGCACCATGTCCATATTCTTGACTTGTAAGCTTCCATGTGTTTCTATCACAGGTAGAGTTTGGGGACTTGGAGAGGCATCTCTCGCCAAGCCCTGGGGGCACACCCCCTTCCAAGGCTCAGCACCACCTACAGCAGGTGCTAGACAGGTTCTACCCAAGGCGCTACCGATACGGGACACCCACTGAAAAGTTGAGGTAGGCTACCAGGTCTTACGGCAGTGGTTCTCAACCTGTGGATCGCGACCCCATTGGGGGTCGAACGACCCTTTCACAGGGGTCACCTAAGACCATCGGAAAACACATATATAATTACATATTGTTTTTGTGATTAATCACTATGCTTTAATTATGTTCAATTTGTAACAATAAAATTGGGGGTCACCACAACATGAGGAACTGTATTAAAGGGTCGCAGCATTAGGAAGGTTGAGAACCACTGTCTTACGGGGTCTCGTGGGAGATGCGGGCTGCGGACTTGGGGAGGTCTCAGAGCTGCCATGGGAACATGTTGGCACTTCACCAGCACCGTTTCTCTCCATCTGTCCAATCCAGGTATCTAGTAGATCAGCTGACCACAAAGTGGGCAGCACTGCAAGGCTGCTCCCCTCCTGAGTGCATCCGCATCTACCTGACCGTGGCCCGGAAATGGCCCTTCTTTGGTGCTAAGCTCTTCGCTGCTCAGGTAAGTGCAAGTGGTTTCTAGTGGAAGGAGTGGTGACCACGCCCTCAGGAATGCCCTAAGTATCTCTTGGAGTTATAGTCCCTAATCATGTTTGAGTCTAGTCTGCAATGCCTGCCTGCAAACTAGCAACCACCAGGGGTCGCTATCTTTCCACCCATTTCTGACCTAATCCCCATTCCATGGTCCAGAGCAGTTGTGATTCATTGCTTTGGGTCCAGGATTCTTTCTGGGTGTCCCACATCTTTCCTTTATTGACTTCTTTCTCAATGCTACCCTGGGGGAAAAAAGATAGGATCAGCTAGTTATAAGGGCATATAACACGGGATCCCACTTGGTATGGGAAGTTGGGGAAAGCTACTGAAAAAGGTGACATGCCTACCTCCCCAGCCTTTTGGGGATTGCCCTACTGCAGCGCTGGCAGCGAAAACAGTCGTTCCAGGAATTGTCCACTAAATAGCCACTTTTCTTACTTGTAGGGTCTGTCGCCCATAAGATTGTATTTTGCTTTCCTGTTTCTTTTACAGTCCCTGTGAAATTGATTGAAGCAAGATGCACTCCAGCTGGGAAAGACTGTGGGTGGAGGGCTGTCAGTGTCAGAGCTGGGAGAAAACAGTCTGTTCCCCACACCCATGACAGAGCAGCCAGGGACGCTCTATTCTGTGCACAGAGCTTCCCAGTCGATGGGCTGTGGCAGGATAGGCTGTGATCTCCTCCTGCTCGCGATTGTTAGTAGGTAGCCAGAGCCCCAAGGCCAGATGCCTCCTGTGCTCTCCAGCATGCTGCACAAATGCCATCTTTTGTTTTCCAAGATAAGGAAAAGGTTGGAAATCACTGCCTAGCAGATCCCTGCGTGTGCCTTCCTAACAAAGCTCTCATGGTTCAGAATCCATTGCTGGGGATGCATCTGATGGGGTTTTCCTGTTTCCCCAGCCTGTACAGCTGTCTTCCAAGGAGAACCCTCTGGTGTGGATTGCTGTGAATGAGGATGGTGTCAGCATCCTGGACCACAACACGATGGTAAGGAAGGAGGAGGGCTGGCTCCCCGATCCCCTCCTTCTCCTGAAGTCTTTTCTTCTCTCTGGACTCAAAAGCCTGAGTGAAGTGACCATGCCCCCCTCTCCCTACCCCCTGCCCAAGCACAGCTGTTCTCTAGGCTAGACACAGCATGTAGACATCGGAGACGTGTATCTCCAGATTATGACCACTGAGGAGTTCTTTCCTGGTTAAGCTCCCTGTGCTCAGAAGAGACGGGTGCTGGTTCCTAGCTCGGAGGCAGGGGGAAAGTTTGCCCAGGACTAACCAGCTCTTTCCCACAGCAAGTGCGTGTCACCTACCCCTACTCTTCAGTGACGACCTTTGGTGGCTGCCGGGACGACTTCATGCTTGTGATTAGATCCATTCCAGACCAGAGCTCTGGAAAAGGCCACATTGAAAAGCTGACCTTCCGGATGGCCGCTCCCAAGGTGGGTCTGAGAGTTCCTGAAACATTTTACTCTGACCTGTAATGTAGGAAGAGGTGGACTTGGAGCTCAGAAAGGAAGCTGGGGTTGTGACCGTCTCCTGGAAGAGCCCTGCCCCAAAGGAAACTGGGCCTTGCCTATGATCATGGCTCCAAAGGGCTCCGGTGGAGTTGCTCGGCAGTCACTGCTGGGCAGACAGTGAGGGCTGGCTAGGAAGGGCACTCACTCAGGCCCAGCTACTCTGTGCCCTTCACATGATCTTTCCTGCTCTCAAGCCTCCGCACCATGCAGGCTGGAGTTGGGTGTGGTGCTCACTCACTGTTCTCCTTGCAGCAGGACCAGGGCAGCTGCCCCCTCAAGATGTTCTCACCTTGTCCTGGGCTCTGCTGTCCCAACACTAGTCCTCAAGTGGGACAGTCTGCACATGCTCCCCTGTCCTCCAGGTCTTAATTCCGCCCAAAGACCTCTTTTGCCTTAAGGGCTTTATTCCCACTCAGTACAGGAAATGTTGACTAGCTAACGTAAGAATTACAAAGACTCAGAAACCTAAGTCCTCATTTATAGGTTCCTGACTCCCAGAGTTCCCTGGAAACCCTGTTGCTTTGATCCTAAAGCTGGAGATTGCCAGATTTCCTCCTCCTTTTAACACACCCCTGCCAAAGGAGAAGATATGCGGGCCCTTTGCTCCAGGGAGGCCCCCTGCCCCAGCTTGGAGCCAGAGAGGAAGTGCCGCCTGTTCTCAGGGTACTGTGCGTCTCACAGGACCTCCAGACCAATAGGGGCCATTTCACTGGGCCTCTGAACCGCACAGTAATGACCCCCTTTGGACGATTTCTCCCAGGTGGGTATTTTAAGAGAGAAAGGAACTGAAGCCCAGGAAGGTTATGTGCCCTGTATAACAGCGAGTGAAAGAGAAAGCCAGTGTTCGAGCCAAGGCTAGTTCATGTCCTTCATTTCTCTGTTGTCTCCTTAGATTGCAGAGGCTACCCTCCTCATGGCCAGCTACATGAGCCACTGCTCCATAACTGTGAACACACCCACCAAGCTACCTGCTGCCCACCAGCCATGGGAACCGGCTGGACAACAGCTCTTTGCTTCTCTTCCACGGGCTGCCAAGGGGCCAACGTTGCTGTGAATATTTCTCCTGCCCCTTTCCCCACCACCTGGTGCCTCTGGGGTTGGAGATACGAATCCTGGGGCATGACACTACTGTGATGGGTCCAGCACCCTCCCCAGCCCGCCCTGGTTTGTTCTGTGAAGTGTGTACTTCAGTGTCCACGAAGCCTCTATTCTCTAGGTGCCTTATGTTTCAGGGCCCAACTTTTAAAAAGCCAGGCCCAGTATAAAAACCACTGTTTTTTTCCCCCCACCAGAGTATGAGTGCTGGATTCTGCCTGCTAGACAGACAGGGAGGTCTGGTTCCTGAGGGCATCAGTGCCGTACGTCAGAGCTTTCCCCACTGGCACCCTCGGGGAGGCCAATCTGTTGTATACTGTATACGGTCCTTATGTGGGGATTTATACTTGAAGTTTTCCCAACATCCTCAAATCCTGAGGACCAAAATTTCCCGTTCACCCCAACTCTGACAGAAGCCTAGAACTCACTAAAACTGGGTTTCCTTTTGCAGATGGGAAAGGGGTTGGCAGGGCTGGAGGGAAAAGAACGGAGGCCTTCCCTCCCCTACTGCCCGTGAGTAGGCGCCCCGCAGTGCCCTGCCCTCCGGGGCAGCAGCTCCTCTTTGTAGGACAGGAGCGCTCCCTGCCGAGATCGAAGCTGCTCTTCCTCACACTGGACTGTAAGCCCAACTGGGTACAAGCTAAGGCAGGGGCAGGTCTAACTTGGCCTCCTCGTTCTCCTTTTAACTACTGGACAGGGCTCAGTGAAGGCTGTGCTCACTGCTGTAGGACGAGGTGGCCATCACCCGTTTCCCTGCTCTTCAAAAGACCAAGCAGATGCACTCTGCCTTTTGCTACTCTGGGAGCCACCAGAATGAGTCAGAAACAGGAGACCCCTTGGGGCTTGAGGGCCTGGGATCTGCTCCTCAGGACTTCTGGCGAACTTCTGCTGGGAATTAGTTTGAGGACAGAGGACAGGTGATGTCTGTCCCAGAAACTGAATGTTGCTTCCACCTTTTGCCTTCCTAACGATGCCAGTATCCCCCTATCCCACTGAGACCTTCTGTTAAGTGCAGAGGAGATGCTCTTTGTTTCCACCCTCCCCTAACAAAGACGAAAGAGTTCACTGGTACTCTGATTTTCCAACATTGGAAACGGAGTTTTATTTCATAGCTCTAAGACAGTCTTATCATATGTCAATAAAGTGCTGAAAACTGTATGGTCTTAGCATTTACCCTGACAGTGTACACTGTGTGTGTGTGTGTGTGTGTGTGTGTGTGTGTGTGTGTGTGTGTGTGTTCGTGTGTTTGCGTGCGCGCGTGAGAGAGAGAGATGCACACTGCAGAACCACTCGGCTGGAACTAGTTTATGTGAGCACTTCAGCTCCTGCATGCTTCCCCTCTCATCCTTTACACCAGGGGTGGAGAACCTTTTTTCTGCCAACAGCCACGTGGATATTTATTACATCCTTCTCGGCCCATACAAAATTATCAACTTAAAAATTAGCCTGTTGTATTTGGTCAAACATTTCTGTTCCTGCCTTCGCCCAGCATTTGGGTTCTAATTGGGACATTCCTACCTGGAACACATCAACACATCACATGTACCACAGACTTCTGAAGAACCCCTCCAGGGCTGGTGTAAAAGGCAGAAATGACATCTCTGGTTTTGTGATACTTGAGTGTCTCTAAGGCCCATGAGGATATTACCCACCTGGGAGTTTTAAAAACATTAGGATCTGCCCTGGTTTGTGTTGCTCAATGGTTAGAGTGGCAGCCCACATACCAAAGGGTCTTGGGTTCAATTCCCGGGCAAGGGTGCATAGTTGGGTTTCAGGTTCAATCCTTGGCCCCAGTCAGGGCATGTGCTGGAGGCAACCAATCAGTGTGTCTCTTTCACATCGACAGTTCTCTCTCATTTTCTCTCTCCCCCTCTCTCTCTCCCTTCCACACTCTCTAAAAACCAATGGGAAAAAATATCCTCAGGTGAAGATTAACAAACTAAAAAAAAAAAAAATTAGGATCCCAAAGAAAAAGTAAAGGAGAACAGAGCCGTGTTCATACTGAATTTGGGGGTCCAGCTATTTCCCCCACCCTCTCTCCTTCCCAATCCTTCAGGAATCCTTCCTTAGTTTATGAATTTTATACAGAAGAAACTGTCTTACCAACAAAGGCTTCTATAGGTTGCATGTTTATCCTTCTTTAACATGTTCCTAGAAACCAAAGTCAAATTTCTGTCTGGACTTTTGTCTCATTCCTCTCGGCAAAAGAAGTTTTTGAGTAACAAGAGTATTAATGTGCTTCATACCCTGACTGAAATGCCACATTCATGTTTGTCAGTCAAAAGCAGGTGTCTGTGAACCAGGCAATTACTGTACATGTTTAGGAAGGAGACCTGTTTATTAGAGATTCATCATATTTAACCCTATACAGACAAAGGAGCTAGGGGGACAGAGTCTAGTCTTGTGGGACATTTCTTCCCACTAACCCAGTGCCTGAAGAGCTGGACTATTTTCTTGACTTTTATATAGCTGGAAATTGTCTTTCTCAAGAGATCTGATATCAATTTCCCATTGTCTTGCTCCACAAAATTCAACAAAAAGTCAACTTGAATGTGCTTAGAAAATTCGCAAAGTGCTCTTTGTCAACATGGCCTTTGACAAACCGTTTCTTACGGTCTCCTCTCAGTTGGTAACGGACACATACCTTACGAGGGGAGCACTGAAATACCAGGAACACTTTGCTCAACATCACACAATGAGCCGAGTTCCAGTCACCTGCTCTGTGGCTCTCAGATCCACTGCATCCATCCTGGTTCCTAGGGCCGTGTCCACATGATGGTTTGAATACAGCAAAAAACACCAGCGCAAGGGCTTAGGAGTCCTTTCCCACGGAAGACAGCCTGGCCTTCTGAATGCTGGGGCTCATGGGCTTGTGGATGTGGCTTTCCCGTGTGCCAGGATCTCCTGGCAGCTCCTGTACACTTCAATCAAGCAGTCCAGCCGGGGCTTGGCACTCTGAAGGCCAAAGGGAAGAAAGGCACAGTCAAGGTGAACAAGAGAGCTTAGGAGTGCGCATCCCTGTGCAACCTTACTCTCACCCACACCCAGGGGTCTGTAGGCACAGGTGGGAGCTCAGAGGCGGAGTGCAGGCCTCACAGCACCTTGCTGGAAGAGTCCCTTACTAGGCCCTCAGCCCAGCCTGTGAATTCTGCAAAGCCAGATCTCAAAGACAGTTTATAATCTGTATAAGTTTCATGATCTCCATCTAAGAGCAAGCAAGAGGGTTAACAAGGAGACCCTCCTGGGGAGTGTCACAAGCTGTGAGACAGTCCTCAGAGACAAGAAGGGCGGCTTCACATGTCAACATTGACAAATACTGTGTATAAGGAAATGTAATACAACTGAGTTAAAAGAAAGCCACAGAATGGGAAAAAGATGAGGATGGCATATGCAATAAAAGTTTGCTACCCAAATACATAAATTGTTACAAATGCATAATCAATATCTACATTCTACTTAACTAAGAGAGGAGGTACGGATAGTTTAAAACAAGAAGAAATATTAGTAGGTAGATACAAAGAAATATGAAAAGTCTTTGTCATTTAAAGTACAAATTTAAAATTTTTAATTCCTTTACCGACATACTAAAGAAGCTATACCCACTGTTAGCCAAGACTAGAAAAACACAAATCCCCCCAAAGTATATGAAGTTGTCCAATCTCTAGAGCCAAATCTCAAATACTGTAAAAATCCATGAAGCTATTAGTAAACTTTAATAAAATAATTTTGAACTATGATGCAAAAGAATTTTCGCTTAGCTGCCTTAAATCCTTTGAGAAACAGGGCAGTGAGGCAGTAAACTGCACATGTGAATTATACACCTATAAAGGAATTTATTACAATTATGTTTATGTAAGTGGTTTTTTAGAAGAGCAAAAAATACCCTAGGTTGTGATTTCAAAAGTTAGCAATAGAGTGGCTAAATAAACTGATACTTGACATGATGGTATAATTATTTAGTAAGTACAGTGGCCTTTGCAGATGCATGAAAATATGCATGTCAAATTTAAAAAGCAAGATACAAAACAGTGCCGTAACCGGCTTGGCTCAGTGGATAGAGCGTCGGCCTGCGGACTGAAAGGTCCCGGGTTTGATTCCGGTCAAGGGCATGTACCTTGGTTGTGGGCACATCTCCAGTAGGGAATGTGCAGGAGGCAGCTGATCGATGTTTCTCTCTCATCGATGTTTCTAACTCTCTATCTCTATCCCTTCCTCTCTGTAAAAAATCAATAAAATATATATAAAAAAAAAAAGATACAAAACAGTGTATACTGTAACAGTATGTGTAGATCAGTAACATCTACGTAAAATCATATTGGTAGACTGACAGAGCCCAAGGACATGAATAGTGATTTACAGGCAGAAGTTGCTATCTATTTTTTCCCTAAAATCTGTGTAAATTTGTAATATTTCTGAAAGCCTGTATTTGCCTCAAAAGGAGCTCCTGAGCCCTAGCTGGTTTGGCTCAATGGATAGAGCACCGGCCTATGGACTGAAGGGTCCCAGGTTCGATTCTGCCCAAGGGCACATGCCTGGGTTGTGGGCTCGATCCCCAGTAGGGAATGTGCAGGAGGCAGCCAATCAATGATTCTCTCTCATCATTGATGTTTCTCTCTCTCTCTCCCTTTCTCTTCCTCTCTAAAATCAATATATTTTTTTAAAAAAAAGGAGCTCCTGAAAGAACTAAAATCCTAATTCTCACTAAAAATAGCCATCAGGTATCCTCATATGTTCCTGACAACAAGAGTTTACATTGCTACTGTACAGAAGTAGCCGTGGATACGCGCGGGGGAGGGGGGGGGTGGAGGTAGAGGATTTCTTTGGAGAAGAAAGTTAAGCCAAGTGTTCTGTGCTCACCTGGAAGACAGGTACTACTTGGGATATCCCATTTGGTTCCATCGGGTCATTCAATAAAATGCAAAGGTAGTAAATCACCTTCTGCTGTAAGAAAATACACCAAATAGCAGAGATCTAAGTGAAACTCATTTTGTCTCTTTTTCTTCAAGGGATGGCTAAAACTTTTTCATAAATAGTTATCTCTAAGTAGAGCTCTTGATAGCTTTTGAAGTGAGGGAGAAGTATATTCTCATGCAACAATCAGCACCAGAGATGATTCTGAAGCTGAGCCAAAAATAAAATTGAAATGCTGACACCCTACCCATGAGCACCTGCTGTGTCTCTTTAAAAAGGGACACCCTGGTCGGGTAGCTCCATTGGTTAGGGCGTCATCCCCATATGCCAAGGTTGTGATTCAATCCCTGGTCAGGGCACATGCAAGAATCTACCAATGAATGCATAAATAAATGGAAAAACAACAAATCAATCTCTCTCTCTCTCTCTCTCTCTCTCTCTCTCTCTCTCTCTCTCTCCTCTAAAAATAAATAAATAGATAATATAAAAGGACATACCTTTTTTCACTTTTATGGTTTTGGACATAACCAAAAGGAAACACTGCAAGTACTGGAGCAGAGAGTCCTCAATTTTAATTTTGTGACATCTAATACTTCAGGTACTAAAACAGTTCAACTTCAGGCACACTCCATGGGCTACCCCTCCAAAAGGGCCTGATACCACTTACATACTTACCATATAAATAGCCTCATTAATGATAACATCCTTCACCTTGCCCATCTCAATGAAGGTGGTGCTTTCTTTGCCAGAGGCATAGGTTGAAGTCATCTGGATGCCCAGGGAATCAATGATTAACAGAGTCTCCTGATCAATCTTCACAAAATGGAGGTAACCAAGCAGGCCTATGAGGGTGATGAAGATGGCAGCAGAGAGGATCATGCTGTTCTGGAGAGAGAGCCAGACACCGGCAGTAAGATTACCAGATGGTCTTCTGCATACGCCACTGTTTAATAAGTCAACTCTAGGCAATGCAGGAAGAAGCCTTGTTCTGCTGTGAGTTGAACAGGTAAGAGGAACATGCATGGAGGAAGAGGAAATCACTTTCATTTGTGCTCCGAAGAACTATGAAAGCATATGACGAAATACAGACAACAAACAGATTCTGGAAGAGAACCTCTATCAGCAAAATATCCATCAGAGATTTTTCTTCCAAAACTGCAACCTAAGGACTCAGACCTTTCCTCTCACACTCGCTCAGAATAATATGTAGTGCAAAATCACAGACTGAGCAATTGTAAAATGCTTCA